TGGTTTGGAGATTAAGGCACTTATTTCTCAATTCAACAGACACACCCACTCTCCATTTCCCCCCAACTACAGTAAGGCACATGTTCTCAATTCAACAGACACACCCACTCTCCATTTCCCCACAACTACAGTAAGGCACATGTTCTCAATTCAACAGACACACCCACTCTCAATTTCCCCCCAACTACAGTAAGGCACATGTTCTCAATTCAACAGACACACCCACTCTCCACTCCCCCCCAACAAAAGTAAGGCACATGTTTTCAATGTACAGAAGGTCAAATTGCAACAACAGCTCTGTTTCCCCCACAACTACAGTAAGGCACATGTTCTCAATTCAACAGACACACCCACTCTCCACTTCCCCCCAACAAAAGTAAGGCACATGTTTTCAATGTACAGAAGGTCAAATTGCAACAACAGCTCTGTTTCCCCCACAACTACACTAAGGCACATGTTTTCAATCTACTGAAGGTCAAAGTGCAACAACAGCTCCATTTCCCCCACAACTACAGTAAGACACATGTTCTCAATCTACTGAAGGTCAAATTGCAACAATAGAAGTCAGTACCCTGCTTGGCCACAGCCACTAATATGAAAAGATGAATATGCACACACACACGCACACAAAAAGTGGGGGGAGGGGGGATAAACGTGGTAATAGTTATGTGGTATAACAACACATATTCTACACATCAATTACATGTGGAAATGACCCCACAAACTATAACAATGAAAAAAATGGAATTAGGAAACCAAGCAAAAGAAAAGACAACAATGCATGACTCTCCTTTTAACATCCTTAGTTATGGTGAGAGTTCATTCATTTAGCACACTCAACATGACAGCACTCACCCAAATTTGTGAGACAATGAGAGAATGACAAAGTTCATACATTCGTACCCTAGTCTATAACTTTATTTACACTTTTCCTATTAGAGCAATATTATCTTGTGGTTTAGATGCTTTTATAAATATACACAAGTAGATCTTGCAAGACAAGAAAAGCACGCAGGAGCCACCCATCGTTACATCACCCAGAGCCTAATGGGAGTTGGTCACCTAAAACACTTATAGACATACTCAGGAGATCGGAGCATTTATTGTCATGTTCAATGTGCGATGAAGATAATATTTAAATTAAATAAACAAGGTCTGCAGAAATTGACTTTTATGGTGTCTGCAGACATTAATATATTTGACTTTGTTTACAATAACTATTTATTTATTTTGTCTAGATGGTATGGTCAGAAACCTACATTTATGATCACAGATCACTAGATATATTTATCTGAACAATAAGAAGGTTATAACTGTGTTTAGTGTAACTGTGTAAGATATCATTATACAACATAAACTATTTACAGATCAATCTTATATATAGACATGAAATACATCAGTAAACTACATATGTCATGAATAGGTTATTCAAAAACTGCAAGTGTCTTATGAGAAAAAGACCATTTGTGCTTTAAACACTTAGTAGTGTCACATGCCACTGTGCAATGGCCAAACTTTCCAAAGATATCTGAAAGTTTATACCTTTAAGCTGTTAACTCTCTGAGTCCCAAGGAACGCATCATACGTTCATAGGTCTTGCCTAGAGGTCCAATGAACGCAAGATGCGCCGATTTTACATCTCTCTTGACTACACCTTGGGCCTCTGATGCTAAACCCTCTGGGACTCAAAGAGTTAACACACACATTTACTTATGTTGCTGCAGATATTTTACATGATACTTGTTAACAGAAATGTTGCTCTACTCTAAAGGTTACCAGGCACAAAGTTAACTCTTTGAGTCCCAGGAGGTTTAGCATCAGAGGCCCATGTGGTCGTGAAGAAAGAAGTAAAATCGGCGCATCTTGCCTTCATTGGACCTCTAGATTGGAATCTATGAACGTATGATACGTTCTTTGGGACTCAAAGATTTAAGAAAGGACAGCAAAATAAACACATCTTCTGTGACAATCAAATGCTGGAAACATCAGCCAACAAGAACCAAAGTCATTTAAATGAGACAGACTATAAAACAGACACATGAGAAGCATCTGTTGCCAGTACATGCTCCAGTGAGAATGTTCAGGTATAATTGTAATAACATAAGGCACAATGTTTTATTTAAGGATGTCATCCACATATTTTAAGAAAATCCACATCTGCAATAAAAGAAAAACAAATTGGTCTGAGTAAGAAGCAGTAATAATATAATATATTGCAGCACTTTGACTAGCAACAGTACATTGCAGGCAAGCAGACAGTAAACTTTCAGTTAGAGGAAGACATGTCATGTAAACTTACACAATACTAGAAAAAAAAACATATACATTTACATAATTTAGGATGAGTGGACATTGTCTGAACACACTATACCTGAAATTAGGCAACCTAGTTCCCAAATAACATGTACATTATCTTCGAACCAAGTGCTACGTTGAATAACGACCCCCTATAAAAAAAAACAGCCAGTTAACTCTGTGAGTCCCAAGGAATGCATCATACATTCATAGGTTCCTACCTAGAAGCCCAATGAACGCATGATGCGCTGATTTTATTACTTTCTTTAATACCCCCTGGGCCTGTGATACTAAGCCCCCTGGGACTCAAAGATTAAAGATCCCGCCTGACTGACAAGCTTGCTGGTGGTTGAGTTAGTATGGCTTACCAAGATGTTCACTATTAGACCCTCTCATATTGGACGACAGATTACTTATAACCATTCTGTGGTGCCCCAATATAAATGTGCTGCTCGGATTAATGGTTGAATAGGGGTATCCGGGTTTTGTAAATGTGAATTCTCATCCTTGATATTTTAATCTTACAGACTGCAATCCTAGAGGGGAAAACTTTGCTTGCTTGTTGTACCCCATCAGAACATCACACAAGCGATAAACACCCAGTGACACAAAGTGCCACCATGTGGATCCGTTATAATAGTTCAATTGACACTAACAGACAACTGCCGGCAGCTTACATGTTACAATCGGTGAATAATCTGTCCAGTGATAGAAGTTAGTTGCCTGGTCGGTCCATACACTGTCAGGTCTACAGCATGTTTGTATATTGCTCTGCAAGTGTTTCTAGTCATGTCACCTCCCCTATACAGATCACTTCAAGATCTAATACACTGCTATCCCTTACATGAGTTATTTCCCTTCTACTGTGGTATGTAAAGTTATATATAATATGATGCCAACTACCTCTACATATACAATTTCTTGATTTAACTCTTTGAGTCCCAGGGGGTTTAGCATCAGAGGCCCAAAGGGTAGTCATCATCATGTGGGGGTGCTAAAAATGTTGACAGCCTTGGTTGTCTACATCACATGATGACCAAAATCACAGATTGGGTATGTGTTCTTGTCCCACTTTTATCTTATCTAGGTGTGTATCTTCCTATTCCCCAGCTGTGCATACCCTTCCCTGCCACACACACACACACACACACACACACACACACACAATAGATTTACATAACCCACACACCACAACATAATTTACACAGTAAGACAATCTTAGGAGAAAGGTTTTCAGAGTTAAGGCTGCTGTTATAAATGAAACAAACAGAAAACTGAGCAAGCCCACCATCAAATGTTGCCACTTTGTCATCCTGACATCCCCAAAAAGCTCTAATATAAAAGCCAGTGTAACGGTCTTCCAATAAAGAATAACTTTCATCCTAACAAATCGGACACTGTGAGACCAATTCTTCTTCTTCTTAGCATTCCCTGGCTGTTAACTCTGGCACAAGTTCTGGCTTTGCATACACTTCTGGACTTAAGTACTGTTCAAGAAGTTGAATTTTGTTGTATGCATCCATTTGACAGATTTGGCTTAATTTAAGCTTGAGGCAGAAGCACTTTGAGTAGCTGACAAGACCTAAGTGGAAGTCTCCTATCTCTAGAATTCAGTTTTATTTCACAAACTCAGACCCACTACAGATCATTTTACCAAACTGCTCCTGAATGACCAACCTGGCAAATGGAGAGTCAAGTTTGTGAGTTTCCACAATTTACACACTAAATATTTAAGACAAGTAAGAAAATAACATTAAAACATTGTATATGCCATTTGTAAACTCCCCCAAATATAAATGCAAACACAGTTAAATACAAACAAAGGAATGCAAAGTTTACATGCAGACATGAAATCTAATTGATGAGCAACAAGTTTTGTAGGGGATATATTGCCATATTCAAATGTTTAATGACTGAATCTCATTGTGAGGTAAATATAGCTCTTTGGCCTCTCACACAATTTCTTCTTCTTCATTTTTCTTTCCACTACAAATTAAGCATCTTACTGGTCAGTGTGTCCAACTTCAGCCTGCATTTGTGTCCAGTTGATGTCCTCTAACCAGATTCCATCCAAAATGACAAGCTCCTTGTTTCTGTGGATAGGTTATCTTTCTCCACAATTTTTCCCAGCTTAGCAGCCTTGGGGTCTTTTCTTTAGGATTTTCAACTGTTGTCAGATTCTTTACACTCAATTTGTTCAAGGGTTTTCCTGTTTCCTGCTAAACATCTAACTCCTCTCTTTGATGTAGGACAACAGAATGCAAAAGAAGAAGAAGAAGAAGCAGACTGATAAGCCAATGTACTAAGTGCTCACAGACTTATTTACCAAAAATAAGTGAGAAAGCATAAAACCAGCTTAAAATGGTATAATCCAAATATAATAACAGATAAATATAATAACAGATGAATATAATAACATATAAATATAATAACGGATTAATTCTAGAAAAGATGAAAATTATGGTGAAACAAGTTTGTTTACTTCAAGTGCCAATTTAATTTAAATCAATATGTTATTTAGAAAAATAATTATTTGAATGAAGGAATGATCTGTTCAAAATAAAGTTCATCACCAAAAAAGCAAAGCCATATCAGTCTTCAATGGAGGGCAAGCATTTATCTAAGGAGTCACGGAATAAAATGTGTAGACTCTGATGCAGCAATGCATGTTGTTTTTGCAGGAAATAAACACTCTCGTGATGTTGCTAATCACATTTATCTTCAGCGTGACTACCTACCAAATGCTGCTTCTCATGCTGTATCATCAAGTGCTTGGCTTCAAATTCCCGCTCACAGAACTGGCAGACGTAAACCCGTTTCATTGCTGTGGTTTCCTTCTCTTTCAGAGAAAGAGTTTTTTCAGCTGGAGGTGACAGTGACTTGGACACGCTGTCATGGATGTGAATGTTGTTGTTGGTGATTCTAGTATGTTCCTCCAGCATGCACTCTAGAGCTTCAGGCTCCAGTTTGGTGCCAGGAAAGTGGATCTGAATGTGGGGGTACATGACCTGTCCAGATGTGGCACTGAAGTCACAAAATGGGCAGGTCAAGCTGTCCTGAGCAGTGTGGCATCTCATGTGTTCCTGAAGAGCATTCTGAGAAGAAGCGGTGAAAGGACAACGTTGGCATTTTATTTCTGGAGCAGACTGACTTTCTAAATGGTTGACAGTTCTTTGAGATTCCTTCTTTTTGTTCACATTAGGGTCATATTGAGAACATGGTGTCTCCATATCTGAAGGTTGCTGAGGATGTTGGCCCTTCACCAAGGCAGACAATGGGGAAGAGGTTCTTGTGCTGGTGGTAGCATGGAGACGAAGATGCTGCTTTAGAAGACCTTTGTTCTCAGAAGAATAAGAGCATTCGGTGCAGGCAAATTCTGCATCGGATTTGTGCATACTTTCATGAACAGAGTAGCTGTTCTTTGAGTTTGTCTTATATGGACACAGTTTGCAGGGATAACTTTTCTTGACAACAGTCAGTTTAAATGGTGGGGTCTCAGTCTCACCTTCTTCAACTGGTTTGTCAATATTTTTAATTTCCATCAGTTTGGCTTCAAACTCCCCAGAAGCACCATCTCCAAACTCTTGATTGAGAAACACCTTCTCATCTGGACTGATGTTAAAGTCTGGCTCATGTTCATGCACTCTGCGATGCTGGTACAAATGTCCAATATGGTCTGCACTCCAATCACAATAATCACAAATGTAGCGCTTTCTTAAATTGTGGCTGTTACAGTGAATGTCAAACAGCTTCTTTTTTGTTGTTTTGTAAGGACAATTTACACAGGAGAAGAGGCAAACTGGAGCCAAGATATTCTTTCCTTCCTCAAGATTGCCAAACTCAGTCTGTTGCTCAGTATCTGCCATGTCAGAATTCTGGAGAAGAATAAAATCAGTATTGAGTAAATCAGCTGCAGGAGGGTTGGGATTGTATCCAGGCTCTTCAGCGTGAAGTCGTCGATGTTGACTCAGCAGATTAAGTCTATCCAAACTGTAGCTGCAGTGATCACACTTGTAGCGCTCTTGTGTGCCATGAAAATTTAGATGCTTGCGGAACTCATAGCCGGAGTTACTGCTGAAAGGGCAGTGCTGACATTTTTGTTTGCGGGACTGCTTGTCTGCACTATCACCTTCATCACTGTAAAAAGAAGCCCGGTGGGCAGCTTCGGCTTCTAAAATGTCCTTGGCTTCAAGGTCGACAATAGCTTTGACATTTGCTTCATCAGAATCATCAGAATGTGGATCATCTTCTTCATCCTCATCAAAATCTTCCGCCTCCATTTCTGTCTCTTCGCTGTCAACATCATCACTCCCAACATTCTTGAAAGTTTCATTTGGGCTGCTTGGGTCGCAGAAGATGTCATGAAACTGACCATCAGCCTCTGTTGGGGCATCATGGGAATCCAGATGATTCTTCAGGAGCACAGCTCGGGCAGCTCCGTATGAACATTTGGTGCACTTGTACTTCTTATTGTTGTTGTGCTGCCTCACATGCTTCACCATGTTGCTCTTGCACGTGGTATGATACGGGCATTCAGAACACCTGTACCGAATCCTCTTGTTTGCCTTTGACCTGGGCGAACCCTCCTGGTCACTGTGGGTCAGTTCTGAATGTTCTAGAAATTTAGCAGTTGGTTTTGAATCTAATTCATGAAATCTTCTGTCCACTGGCTCCTTCTTCACATGGGCTGACATCTTGACATTTTCTAAGAAAGATCTGTAGTCCATGATGTAGTTGACATCATGGACTTTGATGTGCTCACTGATGGCAGTAGGCACTTCTGAGCTGAAGTCACAGAACTGACAGCCAAACCTGGCCTGCTTGCTATGGCTGGAGATGTGCGTCTTCATGTGTTCAGTCATCAAAGTTTTAAAGGGACAAAATGGGCATGACATGGCTTTTGTTGCCAGAGTTTTTGCATCAGTATTCATGTCTGATTTTTTACTGGGGTCATGGGCCATTTGTTCTCTTAGAGCATTGAGCTGTACAATCTGCAGCTCGCTGTAGTTTATCTGTTTGAAGTCTACAACTTCAACAATTCTCTCATGTTTCGAATGCTCTTTCTTGCAATGGTCAGACATGACGTGAATGTTATCATCAGAGAACTGGCACGTCTTACAGCTAAATTTTGACATGGCTCTGTGACTGCGCACCACATGCTCGCAAGTTTCACCAATGGATGCACTGTGAAAGGCGCAATGAGGGCAAACATAATTTAAAACGTTACCAACAGGCACGATGTTTACCGGGATGCCGCTCCATGTGTGCTGTTGTTTTGTGAGGTACATGATATCATGAGAATCTTCCGAACGTGAAGTCTTGTTCTTGGAGCTTAGGTCCATGATACTGAAATCTGACTGGCTGGAAATCTCAGGCGGACTGTCATTATTGTTTCCCGCATTACTGCTATTTGCAAATGCCAGGTTCATTCTGTGAATCTGACTTGCATACTTGGGGTCTTGACTGAGAGCTTTCCACTTGCGAGTATGGGAAATTTTCATGTGCTGATAGAGCAGATTCATTTTGTCCACACTGTAGTCACAGAACCAACACTGGGAGTTCAGCTTGCTTCCATGCAACTCCTGGTGCCGCTGAAAAGTCTCAGGATTAGCTGAAGAAAAACTGCACTTGCCACAGCTGTACCTCTTGCCACCTCTTCCCTCATCATCCTTCTTGCTTACAGCTTCTTGCACTTTGGAACTTGACACAGCATCATGTTTCTCTCCCAGCTGATGGTTTCTTTTCTCAGCAATCTGCTGCTTGAGAATATCAATCGGTTCTCCTGTGTACATTTTCTTTGGCTGCAGTTTCTGACCAGCAGGCAGACCTGCATGGTTGGCATGACCAGACAAAGCCATGCTGACATCCTGTTCTTTCAGCTGGATGGGGTGAGCCTGGATGGCATGCTTGTAAACTGCAGTCAGGTTTACAAACTCCGCTGGACACCACTCACACTTGAACTTGTTGAAGCCTTGACCCTGCTGAGAGATGATCATTTGCTTGGGAACTTCACTCAAGATCTGCTGTATTCTGGCCTCAGTAGAATCTGTGGCAGGCTTCTCATTTTCTGAACATTTCTTATTCACCTGGGCAATGCCCTGACTCATTTCATTCTTATCTGTGTTGCTTTTCTGAAGTTTATAATCCTTTTTGGCCTGTGCTTTTGTGTCATCTTTCAGTTGGTTGTGGTCTTCATCGGTGATCATGAAAAATGTTTCCCACTCCTTAGGGTTGAAAGCTGAGTGCGTGCTGATGTGATCCAGCAGTGATTCTTTGTCCTTGAACAGTGACCTGCAGTAGAAGCACTGGATGCCAGTCTGCTCCAGCTGTTCATGTTCTTCCATGTGCTTCTCTATGGTCTGACGACTTTTACACACAAACTCACATTTTGTACATTCAATTTTCTTCACCTGTTTCCTTGGGTGTTTTATGCGAGCCATGTCCATTTCAATCTCTGTTGATGGAGCTGGAGAACTGTGGCTCGACTCCTGTCCTGTGTGCTCTGCCTGGCGATGTTCTAACAGACTTTGTAAAGTGTGGAAGAAAATGTTACATTGCGTGCATCTGAATCGAACTTGGGATGTCTTTTCTTTCTCCTCTTTCTGGACAGCTGGTCTGGGGAAGTGATTGTAGCTTTTTCTGTGTTTCTTCAAATCACAAGCCCAGCGTGTGGAATACTGGCACACATCACACTTGAACGGCTTGTCGTCTGAGTGGAGTCCCGAGTGGCGCTTCAGCTCGGCCTGACTTTGTGTGGTAAAAGGGCAGTGAGGACAGTTCCAGGTCTCGCTCTGTCTAGTGCTGCTTGTATGTGTTGTTTGTGGCAAGCTGGGAGACTGAGCAGGGCTGCTGGAGTAACTGAGGCTGCTTACATGAGGAGGAGCACTGGTCATTGCTTGAGTGTTCAGATTAGTAAAAGGCAAGCCATTGGTATAGCCTGTGTAATTGTTGTTGTTATGTTCCATGGAGTTATTGTCATTATTACTGTTATTGCTGTTGCTGAGGTCCTGCGGAGAGGCACACGATCCTGGTCTGCTGAAGTCCTCACCAGAAGATTCATCAGAGACACTGTTCTGCTCAGAAGTGACCATTATTCCGGCTTGCTGCCCACTGTCATTCCCAGATGGGAACATGTATGCCAGTGAAGGCTGCGGGGTCATCTTTTTCACTTTCCCTTGCTGACTGACCACAACATTGGGGGGTCCATTACTAACGGAGGCATCCCTTTTCTTTCCTTTTGTGGTGTCAATGACATCGTTGATGCCACCACCCCCACAACGCTTCAGATGCTTCACCACGTCCCATTTCCATTTGCTTCTGTACTCACATCTAGGGCACAAGTAAGGTTTGGAGTCGGAGTGGTTCTTCATGTGTTGGGTGACCTCAGAAGGCCACCGAGCGTGGTAGTTACACATGGTGCATTTGTAGGGCAGCTCTTCAGACTTACAGCTGCCCGGGCTAGGACTTAGGGCTGGTTCACTGGCCACACTTTTCTTGGTGGTGCTGCTATTGCTGCCAGAGCTGTTGGAATTCTGGCGATTCCTCACTGCATCTTGGATTGCTTTCTGAGCTTTGTTGCGTCGGTCAATCTCCTGAGCTGCCTGGGCAGCTTGCACCATCTGAGCCACTTGAGTCATGTCCTCACCTGAGGTGTAAGAGAACGGGTTCAGAAAACACAGATTCCTTTCCACATTAGGTTCATCATCCAGAATATTAGGCTGGCTGGAAATGAGTCTCTGCCCAGCCTGCGTCGCTGCAATGATTCCTTCTACAGAGATGTTGTCATCACGGCCAAACACGTTGCCATTCAACATTCCGCTGCCCGGTTCCAGCTTGACTCGCTTTGGCACTGGTTCGTCTTCTTCATCATCTGAGCTTCCATCTGGACTGTCTTTTTTGTCATTCCTCCTATATGGGTTTGGGAGATTAGGGTGGCTCTTCTGAAAGTGCTTCACAAGGTCCCATTTCCATTTGTATGTTGACCCGCATACCATACAGATATAAGGTCTTTCCTCTGAATGAGATACAGCATGTTTCTGCAGCTCTGCAGGCCATTTGGCTTCAAAATCACACTTTTTGCATTTCAAACTCTTGCCTTCTCCTGCTCCTAAATCCTGATTTCCAAGCTCACCAATGTCATGGATCTCCATGTTGAGAAGATGGTAGGTTTGCTGTAAACCATGTGGGATCTTCTTAATGGCTTCCTTGTAATCAGTTAGTTTCCTGAAGTGAAGTTTAATAAAATGGTTATTGAGTTCATCCATAGAGTTAAACTGGAGCTTACATTCAAAACATTTGACGATTCTTTTATTGAGATGTGAACTTGTGTGGTTGGCGAATTCAACTTCAGAGGTGCTGGTGAAATCACACTTTGAGCAATGGTGTAGTCTGGGGATCAGCTGGTTGATGCTGTGTGCAGGTTTCATGGAACTCATGCCTTCCCACGGCTTCTCAGCCGCCACACTTTCTGCTGCCTTATTGTTCTTGGAGAAGTCTAATGGCTGATCCTGGTCGTATAATTTATTCTGGTCCTGTGTACTCACACTGACGTAGGGAGAGTTTCTTGAACTGGACTTACTGTCTCTAGTAAGATCCAATGCAGCTTCTTCAGAAGAGTCGTAACCATTGCTTTGCATTGACAAATGAGACAAGGCCAGGGGCATGCCAGGGAACACTGGCTGGGCAGTGCTGGACACAAATGGACCTATCATCTTTGGGAGCAAAGAGTTCACTGATGCTGCCATTCTTGAAGCGCTGCTGACCAAGTTGGAGGCTGCACTAAAAAAATGTGGAGGGCTTGGTGACTGAGTGAGGACGTGAGGAGAAGTTATGTGGGAGAGATTATCACTCTTGTTCGTTTTAATTGTTGCCAAGAAGGTCTTGTCATAAATTCTGCGAGCTCCAAGTTGTGTATATTTACCAGATTTGAGCAGTTCCAGCATGCCAGGAGGGCTGGCCACTTCCACTAAGGGGTCCATGCTGTGCTTCTCCTTCCAGTGTTTGTTTAGGCTCTTCCTCCATTTGTAGATATTTCCACACTGAGAACAAGCATACTTGGTGCCGCTGCTGTCCACTGCTTCAAAATATTTCCCTGGGTCAACTTCTTGTCTTGTTTTCTTTTTCTTCTTCTTATCTTCATCCAAAACTTGGTCTATGTTTTCTGGTGTTATTGCAATAGAGGTAGACTTTTGGTCCACGAGGGAGATATCATCATCTTCCTCGTCATCCATATCATCTGTTTTCTCAGTTTTGTATGGTGAGCAAACTGCAGATGAGACTGGCAAGGAAAACTTGGAGTACCTGTTGTTTTCCTCTATCTTGATCACACCTGATTTATCTGTGGAATCAAAAGCTGCATTAAGCCCATCACCACTTTCAGTTAAGAAGTGCAGCTTTCTATGTTTGTTGAGCCTCTGCTTGTAGACTGTGGCATAATCACACAGATCACAGTCAAAGATGTTAACCTCAGTATTGTGGTTTTCTTTCAGATGATGCAGGTAAGCCTTGGCACTGCCTGTAGTCACCCTACAGTGCTGACAAGTGTACAACCGGGGTTGTGCACCTATTCCGTGTGCATTTCTAATCAAAGCATCATCATCATCAATGACAAGTCTATCCTCATCATCCACTTCTTCATCTGCGCTGAATTTATCAGCAATGTCATGCGGCAGCCGCCGGACTCCGTCACTAGAATCACCACGTTCAACGTGCAGGCTCTCCTCCAAGGAAGTAGACATGGCATCTGGCTCATCTTCTCCTTCATCTGCATCCATACACTCCTCCTCAACATCTCCACTCAAGCTCGGAGACTTTGTCTCTGAATTCTGTGTTGACTTCGCAGTCTTCTCTTCTGATTTCACAGTATCAGCAACAAATGATGCTAAATCTTTACCATAAGGCTTAAAGTCTGCTGCCTTTCCATCTCTTACTGAAGCAGTCTCTACCATGATGTCTTTGGGTACTTCCATTGCAGACAAAGAAGTATCAGAGTCTGGTAAACTACCTGTCAAGGTGCGCTTTGGTCTCAAAACTCGTCGAGTCTGTAAAGTGTGTGATGATGTCTTTGTTACTTGTGAGAAAACAGTTGCAGATTCTGCTCTGTTGTCATCGGATTCTGAATGTGCAGCTTGATGGGCAGTAAATTCACGTGCATCTGTGCAGGTAAATTTACACTTTTTGCAGTAGCGTTTCCTCCCGCGGCCGGTCCCTTGGCTCTCAGTCAACGAGGATCCATCTCCACTTCCACTGCTTGCAGGCAGGTTACCAGGCATGACCAGGGTGTTATGACGAGAGCCTGAGAAAGAAAACATAACTAAAATCAGTCATACAGAAAATGTAGCTGAAATCAGACAAAGAGAAAAAGTAATTTCTGAACTTCGCTCTTCTTTCATAATTTGATTTCTGATTGCATATCCATTTTACAGATCTGCTTGTTTGTATGCAGACTTTTGATTCCTCGACTCTCAAGCAGATGCCCTCCAACTAGAAAGAGACGCCCCTAATTAGTCAACTCTTGCGCCATGCTTGTTAGGGCACGTCTGTGGCTCAGGCATCTGTGAACGTACCTGGTAATGCTGGGGAGTGCTGAGTTTGATTCCCAGCTGCAGGCAATTAGGCAGCAGATGGTTTTGCGTTGGTTCTGACAGTGTTATCAAAAGGCTACCGTTCAGTAAGCAATGGCAAACTAATCATCATAAAATCTGCCATCAAAAACCACAACAGACAAAAATGCTGGGCTTGGTTTTGCAACTTTCTGTAAAGGATACGCAACTAACTTGAGGGAGGGGGGCAGTGGATCTATTTTTCTCCCTCCCCCTGAAATGGGGCCTCAAAACCCTCATGGTGAGATCATATACTCATTGAGAGGACCAGCACCATTTCTGCGCTTTCCGTATATGCTACTATTGCAGCGGTTCTTAACATGTGGGTCGCCACCTTTTTGTGGGTCCAAAAACCCTCTCACAAGGGTCGCCTGTATCAAAGGGTCGCTGCATTAGGAAGGTTGAGAACATTGTAATAGAGGCATGTTTCTACAGGTCAATCTGCGCTCCACTTTATAGGTGAAAATAAGACGGATGGAGGATGGGGAGGGGTGATGTAATTATAACAACAGCTTGATCACTGTGAAATCTTTTTCTTCTTCTTTATGATCGGTTTCAGATACTCGGGAAGACGCTGTTGTGTAGCGGCTAGACGCTTGCCTGCGGATCGGAAGGTCGTGGGTTCGGGTTCTGAGCGTAGCGGACTTTTTTTTTTTTTTTTTTTCCACAAATGACCTTGGCTCCCAGGTGACAAGGTAGAGTCCTGGAAAGTAAACGAGGTTTCGTGAGGAGTTCCTGGTGAAAGTCCAAACGTATAAGGGCGTTAAGATGTGAAATTAACACCGACTAACACTAACCATAATCCTACCCTACCCCCCCCCCCCCACACACACACACACATAATTTTGCACTTTTCACAGGAATTCCTCATAAAATCCCGAAATCCAGAGATGGGGTGAAAAAAAAACGAATAGATCCTCACAAAGTACTCAATACAAAACTATATTTTGAGAGACGGGTAGATATATAGACGACACAGAGAGACATACGCATAGGAGGTAAGGTAAACACAATGGGGGCTAAATAACACATCTATACACACTGTGCTCTCATAAAAGCTAGAATCCACAACAGGCAGACAATTAAAATGACAGCTCATAGTTAAAAGTACAGCGTAAACACGGAATCTAACCTTCATGTTAGCGGTGTCACTGCTAACCCAACGCAGCAAAAGAAATCCCCTGGCTTATTTAAAACGGAAAGCACAACTGGGAATCTCAACATATAGAAATCGTCTTATGTGCAGATCCACAAGCACTCACATCGACAAAGACAAGAGAAATCAGTTCAGGGATTCGGGTCTTTTAATACAGCGAACGACAGTAGCAAACACTTGAAGGATAAGCGGCACTTGGCGTCTGACAATGAGGCTCGTTACAACTGGTCTCTACCAATGCTCTCACTGCAGCTCCGAGGCGAGTGAACCTATCTGTGAAGAGCTCCGTGTTATCGCACTGATGCGAAGTATCGGTCCCAACATGTTATCAGTCGCACTGCTGTTCCTTGCCAGACCTGGCTTCTGGGCCGGAGTGTTTCTACGATAACTTACACAGAACTGAGATCACAGTTTGATATGTCAAGTTTGTGTTCATGTATACACCGAAATCGTATCCAAGTCGAAGAGGCGCATTCGTGTTGGTTTATAAAGAAATCAGAGCTTTGATCGGAGATGACAATTCCACGGGTTCATTTATAAGGAAACTAGATTACAGTTTAGGGCAATAAGCCTATTTTTCTACCAGCAAACAACAGAGATAAGGATTAGCACTTGGGCAAGAAAATACATAGACGAAAGTTGATAAACTGCGGTGGGGGTATAACCGCATTGTCACCAAGCAAGTGTGATATAGCAGATGAGTAATTAAGGATATACTGAAATCGACTATGCTGGGCTGAAGAGCGCATATATATCGCTGCCTAGCTGTAAACCACAACATAACGCACCTAACTAACTTTTCAGGAGGAACGCAGAAGCAAAAGAAAGCGCCACATAAAAAAGACACCCAGTGGCAACCAGATACCGCCAGAGCTGAACAACCAGGAGCAGGCTGTAGGCTACAGTCGGTTTTGGCGGGACTTGCTGTCAACAGTGATGATTTATTTGTGTGTGCGACAAACAACAAGGACGACAACACGTATCTCAGAACTGTCGTCATCCCGTGTGATAACTGTCGTATCTGCTGGTGACTCCAGCAATACATTTACCCAACTTTCACACTGTTCTTTTATCTCATCATCATGTAGCAGGTCCTTTGCAGAACGTCGCTCCCATCACAGTCTGCCTCATGAACTTTCACACTCAAGGAGTCACTTATATCATGTGCCCATCCTCGTGTTGGTCGGTCCCTGCCCTTCCTTCCTGGTACCATACCTTCTGCTATTATTTTTTCCAATCCGTCGTCGCGCTTGATATGACAAAAATATTTCAGCTTCCGAGACAGGATGCTGTTTATTAGCCAATCTTCCTAGACGTTCAGATCTTTCAATTATAGCAGAAGGCATGGTACCAAGAAGGAGAGGCAGGGGCCGACCGACAGGATATAAGTGGCTCCTTGAGTATGAAAGTGCATGAGGAGGGAGAAGGAGTTTCTTTCAGGCAGGCCGTGATGAGAGCAAAAGACCTGCTTCATGATGATGATGATAAAAACCTTGGAACCTCCCGCCACCCCCAACCTGTGGGTTCCAGGGCAGAATAAGGGGGAGGGGGGTGGGTACGAAGTCTGAATATAACTACCTGAAAGAACTAACAAACAGTCAGCATACAAAAAAGTCAGATCTGTAAAACGAATGTGCACGCAAAACTCAGGAACAAACCCAAACTCGAGAAATGGACGAATAACCATAGCTTCACTTCGGTGAACACTAAAAAAGAAGAAAGAAAATAAACAGTGTCGCCTCTGATAAGTTGTATGCGTACAACTGCCAACATTACAGACATACAAATTTACAGTACTTCTAGAAAACTATTTCGACTAAGAAATCTGGCAGGGTGATGTCAGCCTATTTAAAACAAAAACCTGCAAGCAAAAGTTATTTAATTAGGGTCCTCTTGAAATATCGGGCATCAATCGAAGCACAGAGGCAGCCACGTCTGATAGGTTATCTCTGTTCGAATGCCTGACATATTTGAGACAAGTATCGAATCCTAGATTACAGCGACGTGCCATGCCCGACTTGTACAGACAGGCAAGACCATCCTTGTCAATTCTTCCAATCTTTTCTGTTTGAAGATCAGAAAGTGGGACGGATGTGAGGGCAATCACAGGGCAGACTTTCTTTTTCTTTAATGCGAAGGGGGTAGTCTCGATGCATGGTGTCCGCCTCGAGTGCTAGAGGTTCTAGGTTCAATACCCGGTAAGGGCTGGGGTTTTTTCACGTGGACTTGCATTTCTAGTAATTCCCCCTGGTCTCTGGGTAGTGAGATCGGACGCCCGTGTGCAATGTTGCGCAAGTAAAAAAATTTCCTTGGCAGTTGGAAATCGAAAACAGCGCTGCCCGTGCAGAATCTGGAGTTAAAAATCTACCGAAAGTATTTCAGGATCGTCGCCGGTGCTACAGAGCCTGTGCACTGTGCTAAGATTTTTTGGACACAGACTTAAGTTAGAAGAAGAACGGAGCATTTATGGGTTACTACCCGCGTGCCATGATGTTGATGCATTGTTCAAACTTCAAATAAACTTTCTTGGCGTTCACTGGCTGTAAACTGTAAAGAAGAAGGAGGAGGAGGCGAAGAAAAACGTCCGATTTATGGTCTATACAGAGGAAAAGCTGACTAAATTGACCTCCACATTTTTGCTGCAGGATCTATTACCAAGGACGAGTGTACTAACTCATTACCCCTTTTCATCTCTCCGCCACAGAACGGCAACCAGCTACGTGATGCTGCACGTTGCACTAAAGACTGAAACGTAACAACAACCAGTGTGTCAGAAGTCAGACACAGTACACGTATTTCATCATGCAAAGAAAAGACAATCCGCGTGGGCGCAAGTTTGACAATATGCCGTCTTATCATCCCTGTCAGAAACGTTCTGGTTTTCCCAAGCAGACTCAAGAGCAGTCTTCCATGATAAGACAACTCTCGAGAAGTCTGCAGGAAACATATCGATGACCTCACATCCTGGGTCCTTGGCTGTTTGAGATAATATTTTTGGATGACATTTTGTTTCCTCAAATGTGGATCTGAAGTGGAAATGTTCAAAATTAGTATCTGAAATTTGGAAACACCATGGATCTCCCACCTGCCCCTCCTCTCTCTCGGGATCGTCAAATGAAGCACAAGTGGGAGCGATCTGAATGAAAACAACAAAACAACATGAAGTGTAAAGATGACGAACTGGCACGAGAGCATGACTCATGGGCAGACGCGACCAAGATCAGGAAAACAGATACTTGTGGGGGAGTACGTGTGGCCAGATTGGACAAGTCGGACCTGGAAGGCAGAAAGGGCCTCTCATCCGTCACAACAGAACAGCGTGAAGCTACAGATACATCCTTACATCTTTCCTGATATTGTCATTTCTGATCCTAAAACATGTTCCCAAAGTGGCAAGAAAAAAGAACAAAAAGAAGAAGAAGAAGAAGAAGAAGAAGAAGAAGAAGAAGAAGAAGAAGAAGAAGAAGAAGAAGAAGAAGAAGAAGAAGAAAAAGAAGAAGAAGAAGAAAGAACA